ATAAACTGAAACTGGTACTTTCATTCTCAAAGAACACATTTTAATCAAAGAAGGGTGAAAATGTGAACTTCAGACAAAACAAAGTTCTTGCCCAGTCTGAGAATTAAACAGATGGGGTACCTGATTACTGCTGTCAAACTGAAGCAGCAGATTAGCCCTGTGGAAATCAGTGGGAATTTTGTACGACTTCAGTGATGAAAGGATTTTATTCCCTGAATGCTCCTATAACTTATCTAATGAGCAGGAGGTGCAACTATTATGCTTTATAATGGCTATTCTTACTTTCTCATTTATGCCATCCTTCCAGGTGGCAGCATTTCTACCTACTGTGGGCAGTATCTGCAGGGATGTGCATTGTATATAAGATGCATGGCAGGTGAAAAATCAGGCTCCAAGGATCCTTTGTTGCCAACAATATGCCTTTTCTTATACAATCGATTTTGTAAAAAAACAAAATCCTTCTAGAAAATGCCAGTATCTGCTGGTGGAAATGCTTTGGCCATTTTATGTAAACATCACGAAATACTGCCTGCCACAGTGTAACAGAAACTCATTCTTTCTTGGTGCTTTGAGAACAAAGTGACCATGGTCATAGTTCAGTGTCTCTTCACATCAGGTTTGCTGTATCTGTTTTGCCATGTAAGTTTGTGAAAGGCTCTGTCACAGGCATTAAGCTGCTAGCCTCATTTAAGAGTGCTCTTTCAAAGAACCTTAAAGAAACACAACAAAGAACCACAAGTAATAACACAATAAGCCAAACTGGTATTTAAAGTTCAGGATTTTACATAATTGAGCAAAAAAACATTTGCATTCAGATAAGTGGGCAGACTGATGAGAATACAGCTCCAGAAGGTAATGGGTAAGTGCTGTATCCCTGTGCAGAAGGATCTTTATTAAGGAGGTTTGAAATGGATTTTATATAAGAACTTTCCCAATAACAGGGGAAAAAAAACCACCCTAGACTGAAGCCAAAGTACTATTTGTAATCCACACCAGCAACATGTACAGAGTTCTTTTCATATATCTACTTGAGAGCTTGATGATCTCAGCTTAGTAAGAGGGCTGATATATTTTTTCTTTCCATTACTGCCATTTTCAGTATTGTATAAATCACATCTTTATAGTCTTGCTTAGGGCTCTCCTGTAATAATAGTATATTTAACATGCCCAAGTGTGTTAGTAATGTAACACCACCAAATGGGGGGGGGGAGGGGGAATAAAAAACCATTATGAAAGCAAAGGTCAATAACAAGTAGCTTTCCAGCTGATTTTTAGTGTTTATGGTAAGGAAGGAGAATGTATTAGAATCACCAATAGTAAAAGTTGGTTACAAGAGACAAATCTGTCAATGCCTTTATTTTGCTCTCCCACTGTAAGAAAGCTTACAGTGACCTGCAGCTGAGATGCAGAATAGAATAGGGTCTATCAAGTTCTGAAAGGTTTGCCAGTGGCGTAGTCTATCTCACTGTTCTGCAAATACCTCGGAAGCTTTCTTGGTACTTCATGGTGGAGCTATGACGCTGCCTCTTCATGCATACATGGGATGTGACTATAAGCCAAAAACCTCAAGAAACAATGAACCCTAGACCAGAAATGTCAGATCTCTTGAGCTATGTGCAATATCCATGAAGAGAATAGCTTTGAGAGTTGAACTAATTCATTCTTAACAGTTGTTATCTGTAAGGTGGAAATAAGTTTGAGATTTTAATGAACATTTCACAGTGTCTGGTCTTTATATTTTGCCTTTCAGCTCAGATGGTGAAAACAGTTAAATCTGTGTTCCCCTTGCCAACTTTTCATTCTGTTCTCAGTAAGGCTTAAGACATGCAGATATACCAGGAACATTGTTTGGGCTGTATAGTCTCAATCCTCTCATTACCAAATGATGCAGCATCAGTGTTCAGTCATGAGTATGTTTTAATGCACAACATTACCCCTATTACACAGTATTTTATTAAACAGATCTGATTAAACAGAACTGTTCTATAGCATTCATAGCATATATAGATATTGATTATAGCATATATAAATACTGAAAAGACATCAGCAGAAAAATATTTCCTTATTTTAATCTCAGATGCTCTCAAATCTTGCAGTGCTTGCATTAATTTGTGCAGCCAGTACTGTTACAAGTGACAATTTTAATAGTTTATGCTCACCAAATCTACTTTAAACATGTACTGGGACCAGTATTATTTAATATATTCATCAATGATTTAGATGAGGGAATTGAGTGTACTATCAGCAAGTTTGCTGATGACACTAAGCTGGGAGGGGTGGCCGACACGCCAGAAGGCTGTGCTGCCATCCAGAGGGACCTGGACAGGCTGGAGAGCTGGGCGGGGAATAACTTGATGAAATATAACAAGGGAAAGTGTAGAGTCCTGCATCTGGGCAGGAACAACCCCAGGTTCCAGTATAGGCTGGGGAGCGACCTGTTAGAGAGCAGTGTAGGGGAGAGGGACCTGGGGGTCCTGGTGGACGACAGGGTGACCATGAGCCGACACTGTGCCCTTGTGGCCAAGAAGGCCAATGGCATCCTGGGGTGTATTAGAAGGGGGGTGGTTAGTAGGTCGAGAGAGGTCCTCCTTCCCCTCTACTCTGCCCTGGTGAGACCTCATCTGGAATATTGTGTCCAGTTCTGGGCCCCTCAGTTTAAGAAGGACAGGGACCTGCTGGAGAGAGTCCAGCGCAGGGCAACTAAGATGATTAAGGGAGTGGAGCATCTCCCTTATGAGGAAAGACTGAGGGAGCTGGGTCTCTATAGTTTGGAGAAGAGGAGATTGAGGGGTGACCTTATTAGTGTATATAAATATATAAAGGGGGAGTGTCATGAGGATGGAGCCAGGCTCTTCTCAGTGGCAAACAATGATAGGACAAGGGGCAATGGGTACAAACTGGAACACAAGAGGTTCCACTTAAACTTGAGAAGAAACTTCTTCTCAGTGAGGGTGACGGAACACTGGAACAGGCTGCCCAGGGAGGTTGTGGAGTCTCCTTCTCTGGAGACATTCAAAACCCGCCTGGACACGTTCCTGTGTAACCTTATCTAGGTGTTCCTGCTCCGGCAGGGGGATTGGACTAGATGATCTTTTGAGGTCCCTTCCAATCTCTAGCATACTGTGATACTGTGATAATAGTTTATTCAGAAACATCAAAATCTCTTCCTTTCCATCTGCAGGACTGGCTCCAAGACAGACCTGCTGCTGGCCAAGGCAGAGCCCATCAGTGATGCTGGTAGCACCTTAGAGATAACACAGCTAAGAAGATGGGGGGTGAAGGGTGGTGGTGGTGCGGATATGCAATGGAAACTGCAGCCAGAGAGAAGAGTTACAGTATGTGAGAGAAACAGCTCTGCAGATATCAAGTTCAATGCAGGTGGTGCTCTGGGCTCCAGAGCAGAGATTTTCCTGTAGCTGCAGCCCATGGAGGTCCATGGTGGAGCAGATTCTACCTGAAGCCTCATGCCAGAGTAGGTGGATGCCCAAAGCAGGCTGTGACCCTGTGCACAGCCCATGCCAGAGCAGGCTCCTGGCAGGACCTGTGGCCCCATGGAGGAGCCCACACTGGAGCAGGTTTGCTGCAGGACTTGTGACCCTGAGGGGACCCAGGCTGCAGCATTCTGTTCCTGAAGGACTGCACCATGGGGGACCCACACTGGAGCAGTTCATGAGGAGTTGCAGCTCATGGGAAGGACTCACACTGGAGAAGTCCATGGAGCACTGTCTCCAGTGTGATGAAAACTATCCCTGGGGTACCACTCTACCTCTGCTTTCCAAGGTGGTTCTGTACACTGGAAAAAAAAAAAACAGTTATGAAGCAGCAAAAAAATGAACTGCTTTTCCTCCACTGTGCACTGAGTGAAGGCATTTCTAGCCTTTAAGCTGGCACATTTTTCCTTTTATGGTTTCTGGTTAAATAGGGTCTACTATACTGAAGAACAATTTAGAAGACATACATGACTGCTAAGGGCATATCCTTGAGAGAAGTCATTGCAAAGTTTCTAAGTCAAGGGGTAAAAAAAAAAGGAATAAAAGCAATCTTTCCTCTTTTGGATTTAAACACTTGCCAAGTAGTTAAGTTCTCAATATTCACTCAATATTCAACTGTGGAATACTACTAAATCAGAAAAAACTGAACTCTCATCACCACTACTTACTTAATGTTGTTTTATCTCCCAGCAAATGTTGTATCTCCAGATACCTGGTATCTCCAGGTATCATTACTTCGAATTACCCTTCCTTTTGTTTCGTCTGGCTTCACTCATTGCATCAAACCATTTGCTAGCAGGTGTGTGACTGTGCCCCATGATAGCTTTAAAGCAATACATGAGAACACAAGCCAAAGCCTTTCCACACTGGCACAGGCTGCCCAGAGAAGCAGTGGCTGCCCCACCCCTGGCAGTGTTCAAGGCCAGGTTGGACAGGGCTTGGAGCAACCTGGTCCAGTGGATGGTGTCCCTGCCCATGACAGGGATTTGGAACTGGATGAGCTTTAAAGTCCCTTCCAAACCAGACCATTCTATGATGTCTTTGCCACCCAAGAGCAGACCCTGATGTGAAGCAGAGGCAGTGGGTGCAGCCCCACCCTGTGAGGTTGGAGACCTGGTATGTTGGTTGAGAATAGCATGAGAAAAAGGCCAGAAAGCCCCAATTCCTCCCAAGAACTCAGCTCTTGACCAGAATCAATGAACCAACAAGCAGCACACACCAAGGATGGAGCCTAGAGAACAAACTCCTCATCCTGGCCAAACACCACCTCCTTGCCTGGCTATGGCTGAGTGCTATCTCCCTTTGCTGCACTCCCATCAGGTACATAACGGAAAACTGAGGTGGCCAGTGCGTTACAATTTGTAAAGCACTTAAACATCAAACGCCAGCAATCGTTTGTTACTAAAGCGTGCCCAGCTGTGCTGCTCAGCTCCGAACCCCCCGCAGCACCGCGATGTGCCACAGCGACCCCCAACAAGATGGCGGCCCCTGACCCCCGCGCTTCCTCTTCCGGCCGGGGTTGCCATGGCGCTGCCCCCCCTCGGCCCACCCCCTGCTCTCGCCGCTGTGTGTTTACACCGGGCAGGAGGAGCCGGAGCATCAGCGCCGGGGGACACGGGGACACAGCCGACGGCCGCCCGCCCGCCCTCCATCCATCCCTGCCGGGCGGTGCTGCGGGAGGCGCGGCATGAAGGTGATGCTGGCGGCATGGGGGTCCCGCCGGGCGGGGTTCGGCTGGGCCGCGGCGGGTACCGGTAGCTCTGGGGGGAAGAGGGGTAGGCGCAGGGCCCTCGGTAAGCATTAGCTTGAGGTGCTCGCCGGTCGCTCTCGTAATAAAGTGCAACTTCCAGAAGCTTCTCACTTCGCGGGGGATGTGGTGCTGCTTCTTGGAGCCGTCGCCTGAGGAAGATTTACCCCCTTCTCTCCATTACAGTCCAGTTGTTGCCTGCGGCGCTGTGAGGGAGCCGGGGGAGGCTGCCTGGCCCGCTCCTCCTCTGGGCTTGTGTCTCTGCATGGAAATAGCCCTACTTTCCTCATTGCTTCTTCCCTCACGGCTGTACTCGTGTAGGCAGTTCTACTGCCCCAAGCAGCCGTGGGGTTTGGTGCTGCTGGTATGCTCCTGGGGGCAGTAGCGCTGGTGCTCACCGGTGCTGCTTCTCTCACAGGCCCTTTCAGTAGTGTGGAGGAGACCATCGACTTTCTCCTTAGTCTGCTGTGGTAAAACTGTCAGGGTAGAAGTGGGCTGACCCATGCCGGCAGGCAGCTTTGGTGCTGTGGGAGAGGTGGATGCTAAGGCTGGCTGGGTTATAATGGTAATAATAATAATATACTGGCTCTTAGCTGAGAGGTTGTCTCTTCATTTGTGTTGGTTAGTAGCCAGGAGTGCTGTGTTATTGTTTTCCTTCCCATTGTTTTCTGTCCTGTCTCTTTAATTCGCAGGTGCATGACTTCTGAAACGGGTCCCTCACGTTAATCAGTTTGAAACACAAGGCACCCCAGGCATTCCCTGTCTCCTGAATTTGTCCAGCAGCAAAAAAAAAGGAATTATTGATCAGCTAGATTGTAAGCTCTTTGAGGTAGAAACTGTATGTTTCTATGGTCTGTGTATGGTCTATGATCTGCCCCTATCCTGATGGAGAAATTTGGCTCAGGCCTTCCTCCAAGCCTCTTGAGTCAAGTAAGTGTGTGTTCGGAGTTTCCCAGCCTGTGCACGTGTTGGGTTCTGGGCGCTACACGTCTTGTTTACTCAGGTTGACAATTGTCTCTGTGCACAAGGGGCCCTCAACTATCAGTGTCTGCACAGCTGACGTGGAAGAAAAGGGACAGTTTCCGACTGCGTTAAATAAATCTATATAAAATGAATGTTTCCTTCTGTTCAGTGTTGTTGTTTTGTTTTGCATTTGTTCAAAGCCTGACAGTAAAGAGTAATTTCACTTTTCTTCCTCTCTGAATGCTTGTTAGTTCTAATAGTGTAGGATAACAAAAAGTATGCATGATGCAGCTGTTGGTAAACAGTGCTGTGGCTCTGGGTGAGTTGTTGACTTATACTGCAAAACAAAAACCTCAGAGTGCTGCCTGAAGAGTGCCTCCAGCTTGAGGCCAAAGCCAAAAAGATTTCCTGCAGCTCCTGTTTTATTACATGCAGAGTAAACATCTGATTTTTCTTGCTAAGCCCATTACTTCCACTGAATTCCTTTTTTGCCCCACTGGAGTGGGGAAGGCTTGTGGCTATTTTAGATGGGCTTATTCAAAATACACAAAAGGTGTGAATGGAGTCATGTTCTGATTGCAAGGAAAATGTATGTGTTTGTGTGGGGAGAGTATATTCCTTTTTTAAGCAGTCATCAGGTTTAAACACTGTGTAGAGCTTTTCAGTATAAAAGGATTCACAGCTTTCCCTCTGAGAGTGTTTTCTTTCCGTGTATGTTTCTTTCCAAATGTGCTACCTTTTGCTGTAGCAGTTGCCTCAGCTTCCTTTTTGTAAGCTCATTGCAGCTGCATGATTTGAAGTCTTAAGCTGGGGTGGGGGGATAATTAAGTTTTTAATTAACAAGTGGCATGCATCAAAAGTGCGGTGTTTTACCCCTTAAAAGGGGGAGGAAAGAAGAAGTGAGGCAGAAAAAGAGGTGTCCGTCTGGTGTGGGAAATGAGAATCCCTTTTATGGACCTGATCCAAATAGTTCAGTGTGAGCTGAAAATAAGTCAAAGTTTAAGATGTTGATCATTGCAGGGAATACATCAGAACCAAGCTTTTTTGAAAAGTCATCTTACCTGTTTCTCTCCTAATTGTTATTAATCCTTGGGAAATACATCTGTCTTTGTGTATTTTAGCAGTATGGGATTGGAGCCTTTCTCATTGATGCTGGCTAGCAGGTTGCTGAGAAAGCAGAGTTGTCAAAGTAAAACAAGTTAATGCTACTGTGCATATGATGACCTGCCTACTAGGCAAAGGAAGAAGCAGGTGAGGAGACCCATCAGGGGAGTTCTGCTGTGGAAGTGATCATTCACTAATGTCTGATTGTTGCAGAGGAAGCTGAAGCTTGATGTATCTTATTTTTAAGTCAGTCAAATAACTTAAGTATCCTGTTTAAAAGATGGACTGAAATAAAGCAGCATGGCAAAGTCATGCTTTAAAGCTTGAGGGACTGAAACTGAATTGGATTTGAGGCAGTATCTGTGTGTACTTTGCTTCTATTCCCAACTCTTTCAAGCAATGGTGGTGCAGAAAGATGGTATTTCTGGGCCTTTTTTGGGCTATGCAGAATACAAAACTGGTTAAAGCCCTTATTTCCTGCACTGTAGGACAGGAATGAGAAGCAGTCAGCTTGGAAGTGGACCATCTTGATGTGTAGGAATAAATGGTACAATTTTAATACACCAAGAGCATTTGCTTTTCTTCAAAGGCAGATCCTCTGATTGCAAGAAAATATGCCTTTTCAGGCTGCATTAGGGGCCTGGATAACAGGCCTATCAGGTGGGAAGGACGCTGGTTAGGGAAGTGGAGAATTGTGAGGAGATGGCCAACTCCCCTTCGGTCCATCACAGTATCAGCTACCAATTACTATCCCACAATACAGCCTGTTTCCAGTGTATTTCTCTTGTGGCAAAACACTGATTGATGTCTCTGGGCTTGAGGAGCACTGGAGAATGTGCCCTGTATAGCAGAACCTCTCCATGCCTTACCTTCAACTGGTGAATGAATTGTGGCACTAAGGTAGTCCCTGATGGCTACTGGGTATGGTTGCTGCTGCAGTGACTGTTTGTAACACTGCTCCTGTCACTGCTCTAACTTAAATCAAAAATCAAAGGAATGAAAAGCATTCAGAGTTAGGTGATATTGAAGCACTTGTTTGGGAGAACAAGCTCAAGATGTGATTTCACTTAAGTAGCTGCTCCCCTTTTTTATTGAATGTAATTCTCCAAAGTAGAATGAGAGTTTGTGCTTTGGCATGTGATCACATTTATGTTACATGTTTTGGGATAAGACAAGTGTCATAAATGTGACATTTTGCTTTGAGAAACAGCTATATTTAAGAGAAGGAACATGAATTTACTGCTTATAGTTCTGTTTGTCTTACTGCTTGTGATACTTGACGTTGGCAGATGGATCCCAGAGATCAGATAAAAGCATGAAGATGAAGCATCTGAAGTTGTGGAAAGCCTGAGTGAATACTTCTCTTGCTTGCATTTACAGACAGCTCTGTTCCTGAAGGATGAAGGATGTCATGGTTTATCCTCTCAAAACTTGATGTATATGTAACTTCTTTTTTATGCTGTTTAGCAGGGCACTTGACAGTTGAAATGAAAAGTATTTGGGAAAGGAACAGCATATAAAAAGGAGACAAAAGGTGTTGCTTCTATGGAGTATATAGTAAATTCATTATAGGAAGCAGGAGGAGAGCGAATCTAAGATATGGAGTAAAAGGGAACAAACATGGACTGTATAATCTGTAGATAATTCTGACTTGACTGTTTGCCTGTCATTGGTCACGTCTGGTTTTCTTTGTTGGTGAACTGCCTTACAAACTTTCTGGTGGTTTTCTGAGTGTTGCAGCTGAATTTCAGAGGGATGGGAAGAGGTTATGTGCCTTTAAAGTTCTGGGGAAGGTACATGTTTACCTTGGTCAGGGCAGTAGCCAAGCTCTTAAGCAGTTTCTTCAACATAAGTGTTGATCCCGGCTGAACCTGTTGAAGTCACAGAAGTTGTTTGTGTTAGCAAATCTTACAATCTGAATGCTTCTGCAGAGCTTCCTAAGGTCTGGTGCAATTCTTGGGCTTCCTTTCAATCTAAAAAGAAAATCATCTGTGAGGGAGGGACGATGAAAATCATCACCTTGCAGGTCCTTAAAAGTAAGAGGCAGCCATTGCCAAAAGCTATTGCTGCCAGAATTAATTTTTACTTTTAAGTTGTGTTGCTTGCATTCGTAATGGTGGTTTTCTCTATCTGATGGTTGTTTATTTGCTCAGTGAAATAAGTCTGGTTAGAATCTTGGATGGGGCAGGTTGTGATATTTCTCGCACTTAGTCTGGAAGCAAATGAGATCTCTGTGAAGTCTGAAATAAAAGGGATGTTCTTGCTGGCAGGGCTTCTGGCTGTTAAGTTTAAGGCATACAGGCTAAGGTGTAAAATTGGAGAGCTTGATAGTACCAGAAGATGCAATGTTAGTTCTGTAGAGTATATAAATATTTTATGTGAAAGTTTTTCCTTTAAAACATTACAACAATAAATGCATAGAACAGTAAGTAATCCCAATCTAAAAGATCTCTGATCTCAGTTCAGAACTCCTTTGTAAGGAAGGAAATACTTAGCTACCTAGCCATCAACAAAACCAGTTTAAAATTGGTGTGATAGATACATCATATTCTGATCTCCCAGGTAATTCAGAAGTGCTTGATGTTTTGCAGACAATTTGTTTAGCAATTCCTGATGAAATAAGGAAACAGAAGTTAGTTCTGGATTGAAGAACATATTCTTCCCATTGAAATTGCCTGAATCAGTGAATGCCGGTTACCAATATGATTTAATTGATATTTCTGAGATGTTGTTATTGGTAATTATTTAGTTGCTTTCGAATTGGTTTGCTTTGACCAGGGTCATGCTTTGGTCCTGCATCATTCCATGTCATACTTCTCTCTGTTTCAGAGCCTGCTGAGTATTTCTGTGAAGGCTGTTTTTACTGTGTATTGTCCTGC